CACCCCCCAGCATGGCGTATCCACAAGGTGGATGGATAAAATCTTTGTTTTGCGGGGTTCCCTGGCGGTGCAAAGACATCTAAACCCTAAACCCTACTTGGAGGGTCAGGGAGACTTAATAAGTAGGTTCATAATGGTATAGTCTCCCTTAAGTAGATAGAATATGGGGTATAGGGAGATCTTATTATATTATACCCAAAGCCGTATTCTATCTACTATCTACTTAAGGGGGACTATATAACTAGGGTTATTGTATGGATTACTAACCTACTTATTAAGTCCCCCTGACCCTCCAAGAACGGAATATAATCTTTAATTTCAGCATTTTGGGATGCCACACTGTAACCCCAGTTCTCCCCTCCAACCACAAGACGCCTGCAGGTGCTGGATCTTGCTGTGCACTGCCATCTCCTGGGTTGCTGCTGAGGAACTTAAATTAAGTTACCATAATATGGGCGTATAGTAAACAATAGGGTCCTAAATCCTAAACCCTAAACCCTAAATGTGATTTGATTTGCGTTTCTTAACAGCAACCCAGTCTCGCCCAGCCGTACCACCTCAGCTCTGTCGGCCTCCACCGTGAACTGCCCCTCGACTATGCCTTAGCTTGGAGTGGGACTTAGTAAGTAGGTTAGGGTTTAGGGTTTAGGGTTTGGGGTCAGGGGGACCTCGTAAGTCGGTTACTAATAACTGGGGTTACTATGTGGGTTATAGGGGTTACTAACTACCTAGTTACGAAGTCCCCCTGACCCTCCAAGTAGCTTGTAGTTGAGACGTGCGCTTTAGCGGTTTACGGGTTTAGGGTTTGGGGTTTAGGGGGGGGGGTCGTTCAGGGTTTAGGGTGCCCTCACATGATCCCAAAAGATGTTGACAGTGGCCGGGGAATCTATACCTAGACCCCCCAACTGCCCTCTGCTTAGGCCTACGTACCCATTCTTAGGGGACCTACAACCCCAATCCACAGTACTAGGAGGGTCCTGGTATGACTTGTATTTTGCAAAGTCAGGGCCCGCTGCCTCTCCCCAAGCTAGAGAGATTCGCAAACCCTCCCAACCCGAACATAAATTCAGCTTCCATAAAATTCCCGTGTTCTTTTCATTTAAAAAGTATCCTTAAACACTGAACCCTATATGACTTTACCCCAAACCCCAGATACCCCTATAGGCCCTATGTTCCCCTAGATACCCCTCTATTCCCGTATGAGCCTTGTAGAACCTCTATATAAAACTCCTAATATTTGGGTTAGAAGAGCCACGAACCCTTCACCCCCATAAGCATCCGGGCAGGACTGACGAGGAGCTGTTGTTCTGCCAGTCAAGCGGGAACATGAACTCAGCTTCCTTCGGAGAGTAAGCCACGATGACAGATGTATCGGCCTCACACAGAGTGGTGGCTTCTTGACGGGGTTCAGGATTTTTTGCTCTGCCTCATTTGGAAGTTTTTTGTTGTGTAACGGCGCTTCTGTTCCACCTGTTCATCGAGAAGTTAACGCCTAGGCCTTAGGAAAGAAGTCTCTGAGACTCCCCGTCATCCAGGCAAAAACTTCATGATGATCTCCACCTACTGCAATTATCCCTAGGTACCCCAAAATGAAAACGCAAAGTGGTTGTCTATCAAATTCATGGATCCCTGTGCGGAAACCATATCAGGAGGATCCATGAGGGGCACCTAGCCTTGGAGACATGCGCACCCTAGTCGCAGCCCCCAGACCAAAACCCTTAAACCCTAAACCTAAGGCCCTAAACCCAAACCCCTAAACCAGATCCAACTTCCTAAAACATGCCAACTCCTAAACTCTAAACCCCCAACCAAAGCCCCTATAAGACCTCAAACCCCAAACCCCTAGACCCCAAACGTGAAATCTGGTGGCCTTGTTTGACAGAAGTCTGCACCAGAGCTCTGCTCGACACCAACCCCTCGAAAGCCACGACCTGCTTGGAGTTCGCACTGAAGGTGTAGGGTTTATGGTTTTGGGTTTAGGGTGTAGGGTTCAGGGCTTTGAGTTTGGGGTCTAGGGTATAGGGTTTTAGGGTGTAGGGTTCAGGCCGATAAGTTGGAGTTTAGGGCCTGAGGCATCACAAGTGAGATTCTCAACAACTGGGTACACTGTATCAGGGATCCTAGTACATGTTTTCTGGATGTGCATGGTACAGGGGACCTCCATTTTAGTCAGAAGACGTCGCCCCTGTCTTACCCAGTGTAGGAAAGAGTAAGGGACAAAGGACACAGGGTTTGGGGCTTAGGCTTTTGAAGGGCGTATTAAAACGCAAAAGCTTCAATAATGACAGAAAACCGTGTTGAAGCTTGGCCAAGTGCAGTAACCCTCTACGCCTACGCCGCAAAATGGCCCTCACAACTTGCTGACGCTATGAACCTGTACTTGGCGTACCGCACATAATGAAGTAGATGTCGTAAGCATTTCGCAGTCCTGCAAGCTCTTCAAGTATAAATTCTTGTGGAATCTAAGTAGTTTGAACTTTGATTCTTCATGTATTTCATATATATATATATACACACACATCTACACACCCATTACAGATAGGCCCCACATTCACCATGGAACTTACTTCTACGGTTGAAAACAGTGGGCCCCTAGTATGGGCCCTTAACCCTGGGTTCCTTATATACCTACAATATACCCTATATTGGAATTTCCTGGAGACTATATGGGGTTTAGGATTTGGGGTTTAGGGTTTAGGATTGAGGTAACAGGATTCAGGGAGTAGGGTTTCCCAAAATTGGGGTACCTTTTGGGGGGTCCCTATAATACGGATTAGAATATATTGGGGTCTATATTGGGGTTTCCATGTTTCGGGAAACTACCACATGCACCCTTGAAGGTCCCTAAAAAGGTCGAAAGGCCCATACTAGGGGCCTACACCTTCTAAGCTTAGATTACTTGAAGGTGTTCTATGTTTTCAGGTTCCTGCTTTAGGGTTTACTTTAAGATTTGGGGTTTTAGGCTTTAAGGGTTTAGGGTTTTAGGGAAGCAGGGGAGTGAGTGTAAGGACTATTGCAGCGGATAGGCTCCACGCCCCATTCTGCCTTAAGCACAAAGAAATCTAGGTTCTACTTTCTGCGCCTGCAGCTCGTCCCTATGTGGATGCCTCAAAAAAGGGGGATTCAAGGTTTCCCTCCTTGCGGTCCCCATGACACAGCGTAAAACTCCTTGGAGCTATGTATAGGGCCCGACGTCTTGAAAATCCATACAGCAACAACCCGTCTGAGGATCATTCCTGGTGCGCGGACATCGTGAGACACTGGGGGGTGGCGCTCGGTGGCTGACCCACCTAAGGTTATATTATTCTCATGTTTAAGTACGACCGTATTTGTTACTATGCCTCAAAGGAGGGAAATAAGAATCTTATATATTCCATTTTGCCACAAGACTCTCCTGTTTTTACATGCTTCCTAAAAGTTCTCCTCGACTGAGGCCCGTTAATAACCCCTATGCCCTCATATAACCCTCTTGAAGGAGTTTAGGCCCTAAACCCCAAACCCTAAATCCCCATGTACCCCTTCACTGAGGCCATGGCCCATAGTTCACCAGCTGAGCAGAATCTTTGTGCGTCAGCTCCGGCACCAGCGCAATAAACCTGGCTGCGCACAATAGTCCCCATAGTTCCTATGGTCCCCATAGTGCCCATAATCCCCAAAGTCCCTACACCCTAAACTCATAGTTTGGGTCCTGCCCCACCCATTAACAGTCCAGAATAGGGGTCATACTGAAGGATGTATATAATCACTTTATAGATATTCTCCAACTGTTAGTGGGCAGATTCAGTACCCAACCTATACCCAACCCATAGCCGAAAATTAGTACCCCATGCTCTTCTTCTTGTAGTCCCTAAATACCCCCTAAACCCTAAACCCTAAACCCTGTGCTCTGTAGCACCTGAAACCCTAGACCTTCAACCTTAAGCCCTAAACCCTATCTATCCCTGGGGCACCTAGGGCGCTGGGTTTCGCAGAAGTCTTGCTGCACTTTCAACTGTCGGGAATTCCTTCGAAGAGGGCTGGAAGACTGCCCACGCTCCTTAGAAAATCATAATGATTATACTGCAGGTATATGTAACCCGAACTAACATTAACCTTATTACACGCCGTGACTAGGTGGGGGCAGCATCCGAAGCATCAATCTCAAAACAACTCAAGAGACTTTAGGACGCACCCCTACTAGGGACCCTTAATCCAATTACCATATGTAACCCTTACATAGTCTTCTATAACCCCTATGAACCCCTATATCCCTAGGCATCCCCATATTAACCCCCAAAGCTACCAGGGTCCCACCCTAAACCCTAAACTCTAAACCCTAAACCCTAAATAATCCTAACCCAAAACCCTGTTGGGGGTCCCTCCAAAAGTCCTTAAAAAACCCATCCATGCGCCTCCCCAAACATGGCCAAGGGGCAAGTTAGAAAGCTCAACATAAGCAGGAATGCTTTGAACCTTGGCTGCGGAAAAAACAAACGGGTTAAGGGGTTTGGGTTTAGTGTTTAGGGTTTAGGGTTTAAGGGTTTGGGTTTGGGGTTTACGGCGGATCTGGAACCCCCGGCTTTTAGGGCTGTCTACGATCATACAGGGTTTTGCGCAAACCCTGCAAAACAATCCCCAAACAACGCGTCCCTCAAGCCCTGAGATGTGGAAGGCAATGCTCTCCCGCAGGCATTTGGAACCTGCAGAAGCTCCCCACTTAGGGTCATGGAGTTTAGTTTTGTTCGCTTACAGGTCAGAAAGGCTCTTACAAGCAGGCGTTTAGGGTTTAGGGTTTGGGGTTTACGGTGTAAGCCGCGAGGCATAGGGGACCATCAGAAAGAGCGCCCCTGTCCGGCCTTCTTTTCGCCTATGTCCTCTGGGTGTAGGGCCTGGGACTTAGTGCTGAACCCTAAACCCTAAACCCTGAACCCTAAATCCTAAACCCTGAACCCTAAAACCTGGAGTTCGATCCTTGGTGGTTTCACGTCTGAAGGCTTGGGGGTGTGGCTTGAAACTTCGCGGTCAAGGCCGAGGGTTTAGTTGGTTCCTATCAGGCTAGGCAGCAACTATAGGGATGAGGGTTTAGGGTTTAGGGAAGTGCCCGGGTTAGTGTTAGGGAAATGCAGCTACATACTGGCCATACACTCTAAAGCCAAGACCCTCACCTGTAGCCCCTAACCCTAACCCTTTGACCCTAAACCCTAAACAATACTTTTAACACCTTTACCCGAAACCCTGAACCCCGAACCCAAAACCTTTAGTCTTTGTAGGCTTTACTTACCTTTGGTTTAGCTAGGAATGAATGGATCCCTATCGTAGTCCCTAAATAACCATTCTAGTCGTTCCCATTCTCTTTTCCATTCCTTCATTCCCACCCTAAGCCCTCAACCCTAAATAGTAATTTTCATTTTCTTTTCCATTCCAGCATTCCCACCCTGAACCCACAACCCTAAATAGTAGTTTCCATCTCCTTTTCCATTCTTCATTCCCACCCTAAACCCGAAAACCCAAACCCTAACTAGTAGTCTCCATGCTCTTTTCCACTCCTACATTCCCAGCTAGCCAAAGGTCACCCTAAACCCCAAACCCTAAACCCTAAACCCCAAACCCTCAAGCCAGCGATACATAGAGGATATTCCCGCGTGATTTTTTCGGATATGCATGCCAACCTTCAGGGCAAAAGGGGAGGCAAGTTTAAGTAATTGAGTTCCCACTATGGGTTATTAGACCTTAAGGGCACCTTAATCTACCCTTAATAGGGTCCCAATAGGGAGTTTTACAATCTAATAGCCCATGGAGTTCTTGGCCAGTTCCATCGAAACAAAAAAAACAAAGTCGAGCCTAGTGCTGTCTTGCACCAACATGGCCTGCAATTCAACCGCAAACATCTAAAGCGCCTTCCATGGGATACCTACATTCTTTACCAAGTTTTGGAAGCCCGAGAATGGCGTTTGTTGTGAAAAATGACCATTCTGGGTGCCCCAAACCACCAAATTTGGGCTCCAGAGCCTAAGGGTCTCCTAAAGATTTTCCCCTATTTTAGCCATTTCTTGCCGTCCAATTTTGGTCAAAAATCACCACTTTGGGACCCCCAAACCACCAACTGTGAGCTCCAGAGCCTAAGGGCCTCCCTAAGCATTTTCATAGGGTTTAGGGTTTAGGGTTTTGGGTTTAGGGTCTAGGGTTTAGGGTTTAGGGTTTTGGCTTTAGGGTTTATTTGGCGGCCCGAGAATGCCAATTTTGGTTAACAATCTGGACCACCAAAACCTGAGATCTAGGTTCAAGAATTTGGCAATATTTTGTCATTTTGGGCGGCCCAAGAATGGCAAATTTTGACTCAAAAATCACCATTTTGAGACACCCAAACCACCAAATTTGGGTTCCAGAGCTTAAAGGCACCCCCAAAGCTTTTCCACTATATTTGCATGTTTTTTTTTTTACCATTTTGGGCGGCCCGATAACGACCAATTTTGGGCAAACATCAACATTTTATACAATTTCTATTTTGAGCCTATGGACCCATTTTGAGCCTGTTGGATCCATCTTGAGCCTTTTGGAACCAGTTTGTGCCTTTTGGAGCCTTTTGGCGCCTTTTGGCCTTTAGGAGCCAGTATGGGCCTTTGGGTACCAATTTGGCTAAGGCCAAAAAGCTTGAAAAAAGCAGGGCTGGAAAAACAATCAAAAAACACCTGTTCTGAGCAAGAATTAAACGGAAACTCGCTCAAGACCCGGTCAAAACTCACGACCCGAACCCTATACAAGGTCTATAAACCCTAAAATCCTAAACCCTAAACCCTAAACCCTAAACCCTAAACCCTGAACCCTAAACCCTGAACCCTAAACCCTAAACCCTAAAATCCTAAACCTTAAACCCTTAAGTTTGATCCCAGAAGCCGCCAGAGCAGCGTCCGTCTTCGTGGCTTCCTCATTGATGCCAGCCTGCCTCGCTGTAGCTACAGGGTCTTTAGGCTTTAAGGCTTAGGATTTAGGGTTCAGGGTTTAAGGTTTAGGGTTTACGTTTTAGGGTTTAAGGTTTAGGGTTTAGAAGAGGGGTATTTAGGGCACATATGAGGATGTCTAGAGTTATTTGGGGTTTAAGCCATTGGGTCTCAGGTGGGTGGTTACCTGTGGGTACCCGCATGTAGCACTCATATAGGCTCGTACAGGGGTAAAGTGGCTAGTCTCTAAGGACGATCTACAGCCACCTACGGAGGGGTCTAGGGTTTAGGGCTTTAGGGTTTAGGGCTTTAGGGTTTAGGGTTTAAGGTTTAGGGTTTAGGGTTTAGGGCCCAATGAATGCATCTTGAATATGTATCTGTTAAATTCTACGACGATCCCTCACATGACTTCAGGACTATTCCGTGACAAAGGGGTATTGGGGCCCCTTGGGAAAGGACCCCAGACCCTAAACCGAGAAGCCTAAACCCTAAACCTTGAACCCTAAACCCTAACCCCTGAACCCTAAACCCAAACCCTGAACCCTGAACCCTGAACCCTGAACCCTAAAACGTAAGCTCTAGCCTGGCTAGCATGGTCTGAGAGGCCTGGCCGTGATCTGCGGTATTGCATACCAGTCAAAGAAGAGAAAGCCTGCGGCGAGCTTGTTTAGGGTTTAGGGTTCAGGTTTAGGGCTTAGGGTTTAGTGTGGGACCCTGGGGTTTACTGTAAAGTTATAAGGGGTACCGTTAGGCCATGTAAAAGGGCTTCTAGAAACATGTAGGGCGTAGGGTCTACTTTGAACCCTAAACTCCTAAACCCTAAAACCTTAAACCCTAAAACCCTAAACTCCTAAACCCAAAACCCTGAACTCTTGCCCAGGGCACCAGGCCCAAAACCTGAAAGCCTGCATTCGCAGATCCCAACTCTCAAAATCAAGCATGGGTTCAAGGTACAGGGTTTAGGCTCCCTCAAAATGAAGATATCCTTAGAAACCCTGCGGGCATAGGGGACTTGTAAGTCTATAGCCCACAACCACTTGAGCCTCTATGCATGATCAGAATCAATCTACAAACTGGGCCATATCAGGACGATGATTCTGTACCCTAAACCACAACCCCTAAAACCAAAATCCAATACATCTCTATGTATCCCTATATAATCCCGATATACTCCCCGTATAATCCCTATACCATCCCTATATAACCCTTATGTCATCCCCCAATGAGTCCTACATCCTCGGATTCGAAACGAAAAAAAATGGACTTTACTTGGGCCTAATGGGTGAGGGAACCTACTGAAAGAAGGGTTACAATAAGGTTATCATGGGTTTATCTGGGGGGATCATAACCCTAAACCCTAAACTCCCCATATAACCCTTATACATACCCTATTGTAGCTTCCATTTTCTTTTCCATTCCCCTATATAACCCCAATACATTATATAGTAGCTTCCATTTATTCTCCATTAAACCCTGAACTCTAAACCCTAAACTCTAAACCCTAAACCCTGAACTCCGGGCACCTCAGAGGATACACTACCAAAAAAAACACTACTCAATAATGTAAGCCCAATATAGCCCCAATCTATACCTTAAAGAGAAGGTGTAGGGCTTAGGGTGTAGGTTATTCAATATATACCCTATTATGATATATGTAGTAGTTTCCATCTTCTTTTCCATTATCCCTATATAACCCCTATTGCTACTTTGCCCTGCCTTCAGCAACATGTTGCCGGTCTCTGGGCGTCAAGCTCCTTTCGTCCGTGCGCGAGATGATGTCCTCATGCACCGCCACCGAGCCGTCGATGATTCCATGCAGTAGCCTGTGGCAGAGTAAGAACTTCGCTGCGGTTATTGAAAATGGGGCGATGCAAACGTTGAGGGGCTAGGGTTTATGTCAGGGTGACTTGGTAACGCGGTTAGTAATGGGGCTACCTGGGGATGATATGGCCCTATAGGTTCTATAGAAATACTCGCTAAGCCCTCTGACCGTCCAAGTGGTGATTCCATCTATCTGACAATTAGCTTAGTTCTTGAGGGGAGTGGGGCAGTGAAGCTTGGGATCATCTTGCAGCTTGTCTACGGAATAACCTACACCCTAAGCCCTACACCTTCTCTTTAAGCACCAGCCAGTAGCCAGTTGAGTTCAGAGCTTTTGGGTCATTGGGAATTCTTTCACGAGCCCATGAAACCATCAGAGACTGAGACTTCTCTCTACTCCCTTGTGCTTAGTAGGGAATGTGGGAATGGATCCCTATAGTAGTCCCTATATAATCCCCAATAATATTCCTTATGATCCATTCCCCCATTCCCTCCTAAGCACCAGGGAGGTGAGCCCATCCACCGAAAACGAGGAGATTGTGGTTATCCTGGGACTTCTAGCTCGGGTTGAGGTAGGAAGCGACTTCAGCTATCACCCAAGTATTTGCTATGACTCCTTATCTAGGCTCCTCAGCAACCTCTTTATAAGGGAACCCTTTTTCCTGATGTCCTGATGTTCCGCTTTAACAAGGAGACACCAAAATGAACAGGGTAAAAGGGTACCACTGGGGTACCTAGTTATGATGACTGCCATTGATTACACGAGGGTGTCACAGCATGGCTTATGTCTCAAGAAAGGGGTGGACCCTGTAGACCCATCAAAGTTAGCAACATCCTTATAGAAGGACCCCTTGACAAGAAGCGTTAATGTCAGACACATATTTTTACTGATCTAATTAGCTTTGAAGCGCTTTAGAGTTTAGGGTGAAGGGTTTAGGGGTATACTATAGAGGCCTAACTAATTGCCTATATCGTACAAGGAATCTAGGACCATGATATTGGTAATTATTCAGGCTTCTACACTAGCCGTAGATTTTAGGATTTCCCTTTCCCGATGTTCTCAGAAAACCACCGATTTCTCATCAAAAAGCATCCTACATGGTTCAGGCTTAAATTCCCGAGCGAATGGTTATGTCTCGAAATTGATAAATCTACGGAAGCCTGAACCCTCAAGAGGATCCCTAGCCTGGGAGCTTCCAATCCTCAGCGAGGCCCTTGACATCCCTGTCTGCTCCCCTTTTAGGGCTGTAGGGTTTAGATTTTAGGGTTTAAGGTTCAGGCTGGATGGAGGGCTCTTGCACCACCCTATATACCACATACCATACAGCATTCTGGGGTACCTACGTGGAAAATCTCCTCCATCCTCCATCCACAATACTAAACACACCCAACCACTACCTAAGGTGTTTTATGGGGGCCTGCTAATATTAGGTGGCGGGGGAGCGCTTCATGTTAGGGGGAGGGGGAAGAATCCTATGCAATCCAGAAGAGATCCATGCAATCCCTGACTACCCCCAACCCTAAACCCCTAAACCCTAAACCCCGAAACCCTAAACCCTAAACCCCTAAACCCCTAAACCCTAAACCCCTTCTTCCGAGCCTCTGTAGGACCTCTACTTGCTGGCCCATCGGGTCAGGATGCACAGAGCTAAGCCACTGATGCGAGACAAAGATCACGTACATGCCCGGATACCTGAGGGTTTAGGGTTTAGGGTTTAGGGGCAGCTATAGTCTAGACTCCTAGTATCCCCCTTAATGATGGAGAATCAAATGGAAAAGAAAATGGAAAATGAAATGGAAACTGGGATTATATAGGGGGTTATAGGGGTTATAGTCTAAACTCCTAGTATCCCCCTTAGTAACCCCTACAATCCTCCCTTATTATAGAACCCCCCATATAACCCTTTTAAGGCATTTGGACTCAAGTAGACCTGGCAAATTGCGCAACCCGGGCCTGAAAACGATGTCCCGAAGATAGGAAGATTTGCCATAGGGTGAAAGGACAAAACCCTGCATGATCATATACGTTAGGTGGACCCCCCACCCGGTAATAGTGACTATAAGGGATAATGGTAATTATGTCAGGGTCCTCTGATAGTCCTATTATACCACTGTTACAGGGTGGGGGGTCCTCCTAACATATACCTAAACTACCCTGGGGATACGGTGATACGGTATCATCGTATACTTCATGCAGGGCTTTGACCATCAATAGTAATTGATGCACACCTCCCTGCCCCCGTGAAAACAGAAAAAATGTCGCCGTCCTGGGCCGTCGGACATGATGCATGACTTTGTAACTTTGTAAGAACCATCCGCCACCCGCACTTCCCTTCGGATTGAGGATGTGGGAGTGGTAAAAACATGAGGATGGAACGCGTGCTATATTAACTTGTAAATCCTAATGTGGGCCTAAATGCCGCGGTTGGGGTTCCTTCATGCCGACATGTCTACTGACAAGTATGTGAGTGTCAACCTTCGAAATAGCGCAAAGAATATAGTGTAGGGCTTCTGGGGGGGGTGCGTTATATTGTCGTTGTATAAGACTTCTCGCAGAATAAAATCAATCACTATGTCAGGCTTCAACACTATGTTGCCTATGCCAGGTCCCGAAGTCGTGATAGTTGTCGAAATTGCTTGATACTGACCTGTGGACTGTTACCAACCCCTCCTTAGGTTTCGCGTTTAGGGTTTAAACCCTAAACCCTGAGCCCTGGGTGCCCCTTAAAGGTCGGGGAGTCTTTCAACAGGGGTTGGTCTGTACTCCCATGCGTGGCAGAACTCAACAATAAAGGGCCTCATCACAAGGAATTACATAAAGAGGTAGGGTCCCTTTGAAGGTTGGGTTTACAGGGATAATGGAAAATAGAATGGAAACCACTATTTAGGTGTTATATAGGGGTTCTATAAAGGGGTTATATACGGGCTTTACAGGGGTTCTATAGGGGTTCTATACGGGTTATATTAAGGGGTTATGTAGGGCTTCTATAGGGGTTATATAGGGGTTATAGGGGGTTATACAGGGATTATATCCGGGTCTATATGGAGATATATATAGGGATGTGTAGGGTTATGTTGGGTTTCTGTCGGGGCTCGACGGCTGAGTCCTAAGCCCGTGGCAACATACCGGGCTTCGGGCCGTCTAGATATGAGCTATACCTAAACCCCAAAAGTATGTCAAATAATAGCCCTAAACCCAAAATAACAGCCCTAAAGGCCATTATTTTGCATACTTTTAGGGTCCAGGTAATCTAAACTCCTTAAAGGGGATGGTATATGGGGGATTATATAGGGTTCAGGGCTTGGGGTTTAGCTTCTAAACTCCTTAAAGGGTGTGATAAAGGGGATTATATTGGGGAGTATTCTAGGCCTTATTACGGGGGATACCTATGGCTCCTATGAGATACAGTCAGTATATTACTTTCCACGTGATTCATGGACTGGGGCCTCTATTAGGGAAACTAACAAAAGGACTCCTATTTCCACCCTTTAACGGTCGCTTTTCTAGCTACTATCGGCAAACCCTAAACTCGAAGCCCTAAACCCTAAGCGAGAAGCCCCCAAGACCTAAACCCGAAGCCCTAAACTCTAAGCCCTAAAGCCCTAAAGCACATCCCTGCGCCGAGCTGCCATTGGTGGAGCAAACCCTTCTCTTGCAAGACGTTGTGCGGCTCTGGCGGCCCCTTCATCTCCAGGAAGTTGCTTACCTGCCATGGCCAGGTGTGAGACTCGTAAAGCTTTGGGTGTTGGGTTTTGGGTTTAGAGTTTAGGGTTTAGGGTTAAGGGCTTAGGGTTTAGGGTTGAGCGTTTAGGGTTCAGGGTTCAGGGTTTTGGGTGTCTGCCTGTCTAGCTGACTGAGCAATGGATCCCCGAAAGTACTTGTATGTTCATATGGCGGTGTCTTTTGATGCTAGAATCCTTGTCAAAGGGACCCCCAGCTCCAAGAAGGGGCCCCCAACTTTGGGAAACCCTAGACCCTAAACTCCATATCTTCATATCTTTTCCGCTGCCTGAGGCTTCGGGTTCAGGGTTTTGGGTCGCGGACTGCAGTGGGGCCATGGAATCGCTCAACTTGGGTCATTACACTCCCCCAGACTAACATGGAAACCCACGTAGCCCCATTTTAGAGGGAGTGTAGTCTTTATAGGGCCCCTTTTGGGTTTCCATGTTAGTTTCCAGGAGTGTAGGGCTTGGGGTTTCAGGTTCAGGGTTTAGGGTTTAGGGCTTCGAATTTAAAATTTGTATTTCCAAGAATTAGGGGCCCCTTTCGGGAGACCCTTTACAATGAGGTAAGGTATCAGGTACATAATAATCAAGAGAGTGGGTCCCACTATGTATGGAAACTCCCTCTGAACCCTAAACCCAAGTGTGCAATGCATCCCTCCACTGGGCCGCTCCCCATTCCTTGTGGTGGTTTGCGTGAATAAGGAGAACCCCAATATAGATCCCAATACACTACAAACTTAATCCTTACTATCAGACTGGGAAACTCCAAAACGAGCAAAACGAGACTGAAACCTCTTGCAGGCTTTTGGGCACACAATTTCGTGTTTGATCCTTGTCTGGGGATCCTGCTATGCACATATCATACCTCCTGCTGGGGACGCCTTGGCTATGCGGATATGATGTCTAACTGAGTCTCCCATGCCCTAAACTGATGGTAGCCCTGAACACTCAGCAATTTAAGGACTTTTGGATCACCTGTGTCCACCCCAGGCATCCCGTTACTAACCACAAACTGATTCGGGTTTAGGCTTCAGGTATGGGGCTCGCGTGAGTTCAGGGTTTAAGGTTTTGGGAACCTTTTCGGGTGGTGAAAACAAGACTTTGGGAGCAGATGCTTCGCAGAAAAGCCTAAGGGTTTAGGGCTTAAATCATATATCCGAAGGCAAGATGTGATAAGCCCTTACTAAATCCTAAACCCTGGATCCTAAGCACTGAGTCCTAAATTAAAGGGGTTAAGTCTCCCTGGTTAAAATGCAAAACACATTGGGTTCCATCCTTTGGGGGGGGTAGGGAGGTACTCGATGCCCTGATTCAGCCATGTAAACTCCGCCGTCGCGGCTTGGGGCTACAAGTTTTAGGGATTTAGGGTGTAGGGGTTTGGGGTATGGGGTCTAGCGGTTGAGGGTCTAGGGGCTTAGAGTATCCCTGCGCGATTCCCACTAGCAAGTTGCAGGGATCCAACAGTATCAGCCCGAGTGTGGTTTTGGGCTTTGAGGGTGTGCAGGCTTTTGCCAGTGCCTTCGTTAATGCAGACTTGAAACTTGCAACGGCTCCTTAAATGCTATACCCTAGCCCTAAACCCCAAACCTCAAACCATGTGTAGGGTTTATGTATTCGGGAGAGCTCCAGCTTCCAAATCCTAAGCCGTGAGCCATAAGCACGATACAGCAGCCAGACAGCACCTTTGACTTTCCACAGATTCGGTGTTCCTTTTGGGAGCCCGTATAAGAAGTATTGCAATCAGAATTTGAGGGCTTAAGGTTTAGGTTTGTTATGAGGAGGGCCCTCATGGCATTTCCATACTTAACCCTTACGCAACCCCCATATTGCTAGGCAGTCCTCATTTTTGCTCCTAAAGGCTACAGGGACACCCATGGCGGAATCACCCTAAATCCTAAACCCTAGACCCTCAACCCGCCACCGCAAGCCCCAAACCCTAAACCCTAAATCCCTCAACCCTAAACCCTATATAACCTCACTATAGTAGTTTCCATTTTCTTTTCCATTATATCCCTATATGGTAGTTTCCCAAAATAAGGGGACCTCAATATAGACCCCAAAATACTATAGTCCTTATTATAGGGACCCCGAAAGGTACCCCTAATTTTGGGAAACCCCATATATCTAAACCCTAAACCCTAAACCCCAAGGAGGCCCCCGAGCCTTCACAGCCCACAGAGGAAAACGGCACTCGTGCACGGTGGACTGTAAGGCTGCCACCTTCTCAGGGATGGAGGGTTTAGGGTTTAGGGTTTAGAGTTTAGGGTTTAGGGTTTAAGCCCTAAACCCCTAAACCAAAGACCCTGAACCCCTAAACCCTACACCCCTAAACCCTAACCCCCAACCCCTAGACCCTAAACCCGAAACCCAGTAAACCCCTAAACCCTATAAACCCTAGAACCCTAGGGTTTGTTCTGAAGCCCCTTGCACCCTGCGAAACATCTTGTAGAACAGATGCAAACGGGTGAATGCGCGTGCTTTTGAGGGCTTAGGGTTTTTAAGGGTTTGAGGTCTGTAAGGGTTTAGAATGCAGCGTCTAAAGGGTTTCCAAGGTTTGGGGTTTACAAGGGTTTAGGATTTAGAGTGTAAAGTTTGAGGATGAGGGGGGCAAGGACAGACAGACTAGTGCTGCGCAGGTAAAAGCAAATTTGTGGTGTTGAACCACAGCCGCAAGCTCTGAGCACCAAACGGAAAGCCCCATACATCCACAACACGCCCCTTAACCCTAAGCCCTCAACCCTTAACCCCTAA